TCAAAAAGCCTTCGACAGTATCCATCGTCCAACACTCTGGAAATTGCTTAACATCTATGGTTTCCCCATCAAATATATCAACATCATAAAATCTTTTTATAATGAAACACGATGCTGTGTAAGAACTGATTCCGGCAATTCTGACTGGTTCCCGGTGGAAACAGGAGTGAAGCAAGGCTGTGTCCTATCGCCGATGCTTTTTGGTATAGCAATCGACTGGGTCATGCGCAAGTGCATAAATAACGCAAATTTAGGCATTACATGGGTTGACAAAATTCTGGAAGACCTAGACTTCGCTGACGACATAGCACTCCTGAGTTCAGAACACACAGACGCCCAAGAAAAAATCAATCGACTCCAGAATTTCTCAGAACAAATTGGACTCCAAATTAACACCGCAAAAACAAAAATTCTAGACCTTACCAACAGTTCAGTTGATATCACGCTGAACAACAACAGCCTTGAAAAAGTCAACAGTTTCACTTATCTAGGGAGCAAGATGTCATCTACAGGAGATACCGCACCAGAAATATCATTTAGAATAGCACTGGCATCTAGTGCCTTCAATAAACTGTCTAACATCTGGAAATCAAAGACACTTAGCAAACACACAAAACTCAAGATCTTCAATTCTTGTGTGATTCCAGTACTAACCTATGGATGCGAGAGTTGGAAATCAACGTAAACTCTAGACACAAAATTAGACAGTTTTGAAAATAAATGCCTTAGAAGAATACTAAATTTCAAATGGTCAGATTTCCGAACCAATACACAAATAAGGCAAGAATCCAGGCAAGAGTATGTGTCTAATTTTATACGAAAACGCCGCTGGAACTATGTCGGCCACGTCCTTAGAATGGATAAATCAAGACTTCCTTACCAAGCCCTCATTTGGACACCACAGGGGAAAAGATCTCGTGGAAGACCAAGGGAAACCCTACGTAAAACTATCATCGGGGAAGGCTCGCTCATGGGCCACTCAAACATCCAAGACCTACAACGGATTGCAACGGACCGCCGTGCATGGAGAGTCACGACCTCTGCCCTATGTGCCGCACTCGACACAAGAGGAAAGACTAACTAACTAACTAACCTAACCATATTTACTCAAGTCACATATAACAAATCATAGTTACTCAAATCATATATTACTACTAATCATGGCAACGTAAATCATAAATAACTAACCATCCTAGCGTTAATTAACCATGGCAAAAGATAGTAATGTAAATAAATCACATATAACATCATAGTAACATAAGTCACATATAACTTATCATAGATATTTAAATAATGCGGAAACAAACAATACATTGCACAATTTGTTGCCAGGCATATTTCGCTGCATCTCATCAGGTGCGTTACTACAGAGTTACATCAATATAAAATAAAGCACAAAACTGAATAAATCCAACTGAAATGCGAATAGTTTCTTCGATACATTGTCCAGTGTTGCCACTTTTCTTTGACAAAAAATATCCAAAAACGGTGTCAAAAAAGATCTAAAAAGATCTGAATCTCCGTGGAAAAGATCTATAAAAAACATCCAAATTGAAAAAGTCAAAAATTACATAGCTTTTGTTATGACTTACCCTACATAATCATGTCCTCACCTTCACTGATGTCTGCCCCACAAGATCCACAGGATAAACTTAGCTTGGATAATGAAGTTGAAGCTTCAGATCCAAAATGACCCTGGTATGCTTTAGCAGTTCAAATTTCTTTATAAGTCGAACAGTAGGCTTATTTCCCTAGTCTCATCAGGCCGAATTTTAATGGCACGATAGCATTTAAGAGGTCAAATTTCATCATGTTTTTTTTAAAGTTAGATTTGATATAATTCCTAGCACTGAACACTCTTTCTACGTCAGCATTTGAGTGGAAGTATCATGGCAGACATGACACTTTAAAGAGCTTACAGAATGGACTGTTTGATGAGGCATCTTTAAATTGTCTCACTTCACTCCAAAACGCTTTAGTTTCTGTTTTGTTTGTTTCATCACTGTACATTCCATATAGTATTTAAGCTGTGTAGCACTTTTCACTTTGTCTTGTTATTTCAAAGTGTGTCTTCAACTTCAACCATTGCTTCATAATTCTTTCAACAGCTGGTTAAATTGATAACCATCTAGTTTTGCAATCTGACAGAATTTTCGGTGGTGAGGAACCATCATTCAAGGCTGTATATAATGTATTGTATTGCTGTTGTCTGACAAATGATTTGGAAAACCAGTAAAGTGTTTCAGCAATAAGGTATTCCAAATTCCTTGGTAAATATTTAGATGAAGCATGTGATAACGCTAGCTGCAATGAATGACGCATACATTTTATATGCATTAACGATGGGTTAGCTTCCTTCAACTTGGCATAAACGCCATTGTTTATACCAACCATCACTGAGGCATTATCCGTACCAATTACAGCCAAATTCTTCAAGCCTAACTGTTTGCTGATTAAAAGGTCCTTCAGTTCCTAAACTATACTTTCTACATCACACTTTTCAAATCGAACTAGTCCAAGATTTTTTACAAATCGATCAAATGGTCACAGTTTGAAATTGCGCAGTGACAAATTAAAAACACTGATACTTCAACTTTTGATGATTCATTTATCAGTATAGTTATGAAAACAGATGTCAGCGGTGCAATATCTTTAAATGAAACTGCAGTTTTATGCTTTTATAGTCTCTGCATGACTCTTTTGAGTTTTGTATTTTCTCTTCAACTTCATACTTGCAGTACTTACAACAAGCTTTGGTCATATCAAATTTTTTTAAATTTTGTCATCATGCAACCACTATTTCCAAATTTTTTTGCTCATACTTTACTTTAGGCATGTTGAAAGGTTTTTTCCAAAGTGAAAGCCACATAAGAAGGTGAGCAATTATTTTTTTTAAATCACATGAAAAAGAAACGCAAAGTCAGCACAGCGAGGATACGGTTGAAACAAAGTTAGTATGATTTACGCGCGTTTTATTTGAATAGTACCGGGGCTGCCAGATATTTGTGCCTTGACCTCAGTGAGAGTTCAAAATTCAAATAATGGCAGTTGTCACAATGTGCGTGCCAGACCAAAACAAAAATATTGTAGTAAATATTTTACACAGTAATTATTAAATTGACAATGAAAGAAAAAAAATCTATAAAATATCTAACTAAACATGAAAAGTATCTAGAAAAATATTTACGATCTAAACGTCAAAAACAGTATCTAAATGCAATGAAAAAGATCTAAATTTGGATATAAAAGATCCAAAATGGCAACACTGACATTGTCTCTGTTTCATGGCCACCGGAAGCTCACCGTAGTCACGTGACTTACCAGGGTAACTTCAAATTTACAATAAATTCCGTCTGCTTACAAAGGTGGGAGTTGTTGGTTTTTATTTTAAAGCTTCAGCGATTCCCAACAGTCTCCTGTTCGGAGTAAACTCCACAGAAATCATAGATACTCAAATCACATATAAATAGCCACAGTTACTAAAATCACAGAAAACTAAACATGGTTACTCAAATCACGTTAAACTAATCATGGTTATTCAAATCACATATAACTAACCATAGTTACTCCGATTACATATAGCTAAAATAGTTAATCAAATCACATATAACCTAGTCATGATTACTGAAGTCACATAAAACTAATCGTTGTAATAATCCCATATACTAATCCCATATACTTAATCACAGTAACACAACTCACAAATAACTAATCATAGTAATGTAAATCACTTATTACTAATCTTAGTTACTAGAATCTCTTATAAATAATTATTTTTATTAAATCACAGATAACTAATCATATAAACGTAAAATGCACATTAACAACCCTAATTACTTAAATTACATATAAATAATCATAGTAGCGTAAATCGCATATAACTAATTATAGCTACTTAAATCGCATATACATAACCATAATGACTCAAATCCTTAATCATAGTTAGTCAAATCGCTTGAACCTAACCATAGTGACTCAGATCACATGTAACTAATCATAGTTACTCCTATCAAAAACAACTAAACAAAGTTTTCAAATCACAAATAAGGGATCACTATCACTCAAATCACATATAAGTGATCACTTTCACTCAAATCACATATAAGTGATCCCTATCACTCAAATCGCAAATAATTTATCACAGTTACCCGTATCACATATAACTAATCACAGTTACTCATATCGCTTATAACTAATCATAGTTACTTAAATTATATGTAACTAACTAATGTTACTCAAATCACATATTACTAATCATAGTAAGGTTTATCACACATAACTAATTGTAGGAACGTAAAATACAAATAACTAATCATGGATACGTAAATCCCATATAACAAATCATAGTAACGTAAATCAAGTACAACTTATCATAGAAACGTAAATCACTTTTAACAAATAATAGTAACGTATATCAAAAATAACTGATCATATTAGGTTAATCACATAAAACATCACATTACCGAAATCACGTGTAACTTATAAGTTACGGAAGTGTAATGTGATCAATTTTAACAATAAGCAACCCATTTATTCAACTGTTCAGCAGCGTAAAGAGGAAGGTGGGGAGCAGGGCGGGGTGTGGGTGGCTTGGATGGGGTTAAAGTTGTACTTATCGATAAAATAAAAGAAAAAAAATTAGGAGAGCCTCAAGACTTACCCACCGCCGTATGAGAAGAGGGTCAAGACTTATCCACCGCCGTATGAGGAGAGGGTCAAGACTTACCCATCGCCGTATGAGAAGAGGGTCAAGACTTACCCACCACCGTATGAGGAGAGCGTCAATACTTACCCACCGTCGTATGAGGAGAGCGTCAAGACATACCCACCGCCGTATGAGGAGAGCGTCAATACTTACCCATCGCCGTATGAGGAGAGCGTCAAGACTTACCCACCACCGTATGAGGAGAGCGTCAAGACTTACCCACCGCCGTATGAGAAGAGGGTCAAGACTTACCCACCGCCGTATGAGGAGAGGGTCAAGACTTATCCACCGCCGTATGAGAGCATCAAGACTTACCCACCACCGTATGAGGAGAGCGTCAAGACTTACCCACCGCCGTATGAGAAGAGGGTCAAGACTTACCCACCACTGTATGAGGAGAGCATCAAGACTTACCCACCACCGCATGAGGAGAGGGTCAAGACTTACCCACCACCGTATGAGAAGAGTGTCAAGACTTATCCACCGCCGTACGAGGAGAGCGTCAAGACTTACCCACAGCCGTATGAGAAGAGGGTCAAGACTTACCCACCACTGCATGAGGATAGGGTCAAGACTTACCCACCACCGTATGAGATGAGCGTCAAGACTTATCCACCACCATATGAGGAGAGCATCAAGACTTACCCACCGCCGTATGAGGAGAGGGTCAAGACTTACCCACCACCATATGAGGAGAGCGTCAAGACTTACCCACCGCCGTATGAGGAGAGCGTCAAGACTTATCCACCACGGTATGAGGAGAGCGTCAAGACTTATCCACCACCGTATGAGAAAAGGGTCAAGACTTATCCACCACCGTATGAGGAGAGCGTCAAGACTTACCCACCGCCGTATGAGAAGAGGGTCAAGACTTACCCACCACCGTATGAGAAGAGCGTCAAGACTTACCCAGCGCTGTATGAGGAGAGCGTCAAGACTTACCCAAGGCCGTATGAGAAGAGGGTCAAGACTTACCCATCGCCGTATGAGAAGAGGGTCAATACTTACCCACCGCCGTATGAGGAGAGCGTCAAGACTCACCCATCGCCGTATGAGAAGAGGGTCAAGACTTATCTACCGCCGTATGAGGAGAGCGTCAAGACTTACCCAACGCCGTATGAGGAGAGCGTCAAGACTTACCCAACACTGTATGAGAAGAGGGTCAAGACTTATCCACCGGTGTATGAGGAGAGCGTCAAGACTTACCCACCGCCGTATGAGGAGAGGGTCAAGACTTACCCATCGCCGTGTGAGGAGAGCGTCAAGACTTACCCATTGCCATATGAGGAGAGCCTCAAGATGTACTTAACGCCGTATGAGGAGAACGTCAAGACTTACCCACCGTATGAGGAGAGCCTCAAGATGTACCCACCGCCATATGAGGAGAGCGTCAAGACTTACCCACCACCGTATGAGGAGAGCGCCAAGACTTACCCACCGTCGTATGAGGAGAGCGTCAAGACTTACCCACCGCAGTATGAGGAGAGCGTCAAGACTTACCCACCGCGGTATGAGAAGAGCATCAAGACTTACCCACCGCCGTATGAGAAGAGGGTCAAGACTTACCCACCACCATATGAGAAGAGCGTCAAGACTTACCCACCGCCGTATGAGGAGAGCGTCAAGACTTATCCACCACCGTATGAGGAGAGCGTCAAGACTTATTCACCACCGTATGAGAAAAGGGTCAAGACTTATCCACCGCCGTATGAGGAGAGCGTCAAGACTTACCCACAGCCGTATGAGAAGAGGGTCAAGACTTACCCACCACTGCATGAGGATAGGGTCAAGACTTACCCACCACCGTATGAGAAGAGCGTCAAGACTTATCCACCACCATATGAGGAGAGCATCAAGACTTACCCACCGCCGTATGAGGAGAGGGTCAAGACTTACCCACCACCATATGAGGAGAGCGTCAAGACTTACCCACCGCCGTATGAGGAGAGCGTCAAGACTTATCCACCACGGTATGAGGAGAGCGTCAAGACTTATCCACCACCGTATGAGAAAAGGGTCAAGACTTATCCACCGCCATATGAGGAGAGCGTCAAGACTTACCCACCGCCGTATGAGAAGAGGGTCAAGACTTACCCACCACCGTATGAGAAGAGCGTCAAGACTTACCCATCGCCGTATGAGAAGAGGGTCAATACTTACCCACCGCCGTATAAGGAGAGCGTCAAGACTCACCCATCGCTGTATGAGGAGAGCGTCAAGACTTATCCACCACCGTATGAGAAGAGGGTCAAGACTTACCCATCGCCGTATGAGGAGAGCGTCAAGACTTACCCATCGCCGTATGAGGAGAGCGTCAAGACTTATCCACCGCCGTATGAGGAGAGCGTCAAGCCTTATCCACCACCGTATGAGAAGAGGGTCAAGACTTACCCATCGCCGTATGAGGAGAGCGTCAAGACTTACCCATCGCCGTATGAGGAGAGCGTCAAGACTTATCCACCGTCGTATGAGGAGAGGGTCAAGACTTATCCACCGCAGTATGAGGAGAGCATCAAGACTTACCCATCGCCGTATGAGAAGAGGATTAAGACTTACCCACCGCTGTATGAGGAGAGCGTCAAGACTTACCCACCACCGTATGAGGAGAGGGTCAAGACTTACCCAACGCTGTATGAGAAGAGGGTCAAGACTTATCCACCGCCGTATGAGGAGAGCGTCAAGACTTACCCAACGCTGTATGAGGAGAGTTTCAAGATTTATCCACCACCGTATGAGGAGAGCGTCAAGACTTACCCACCGCCGTATGAGGAGAGCGTCAAGACTTACCCAACGCCGTTTGAGAAGAGGTTCAAGACTTACCCATCGTCGTATGAGGAGAGGTTCAAGACTTACCCATCGTCGTATGAGGAGAGGGTGAAGACTTACCCACCGCCGTATGAGGAGAGGGTCAATACTTACCCACCGTCGTATGAGTAGAGCGTCAAGACTTACCCAACGCCGTATGAGAAGAGGGTCAAGACTTACCCATCGCCGTATGAGGAGAGGGTCAAGACTTATCCACCACCGTATGAGGAGAGTGTCAAGACTTACCCACCACCGTATAAGGAGAGGGTCAAGACTTACCCACACCGTATGAGGAGAGCGTCAATACTTACCCAACGCCGTATAAGGAGAGCGTCAAGACTTACCCACCACCGTATAAGGAGAGCGTCAAGACTTACCCACCACCGTATGAGGAGAGCACCAAGACGTATCCACCACCGTATGAGGAGAGTGTCAAGACTTACCCACCGCCGTGTGAGGAGAGGGTCAAGACTTACCCACCACCGTATGAGGAGAGCGTCAAGACTTACCCACCGCAGTATGAGGAGAGCGTCAAGACTTACCCACCGCCGTATGAGAAGAGGGTCAAGACTTACCCACCGCCGTATGAGAAGAGGGTCAAGACTTACCCACCACCGTATGAGGAGAGCGTCAAGACTTATCCAACGCCGTATGAGGAGAGCGTCAAGACTTATCAACCATTGTATGAGGAGAGGGTCAAGACTTACCCATCGTATGAGGAGAGGGTCAAGACTTACCCACCACCGTATGAGAAGAGGGTCAAGACTTACCCACCACCGTATGAGAGCGTCAATACTTACCCACCGCCGTATGAGGAGAGCGTCAAGACTTACCCATCGCCGTATGAGGAGAGGGTCAAGACTTACCCATCGCCGTGTGAGGAGAGCGTCAAGACTTACCCATTGCCGTATGAGGAGAGCCTTAAGATGTACCCACCGCCGTATGAGGAGAGCGTCAAGACTTACCCATCGCCGTATGAGAAGAGGGTCAAGACTTATCTACCACCGTATGAGGAGAGCATCAAGACTTACCCAACGCCGTATGAGGAGAGCGTCAAGACTTACCCAACGCTGTATGAGAAGAGGGTCAAGACTTATCCACCGCCGTATGAGGAGAGCGTCAAGACTTACCCAACGCCGTATGAGAAGAGGTTCAAGACTTACCCATCGCCGTATGAGGTGAGGGTGAAGACTTACCCACCACCGTATAAGGAGAGCGTCAAGACTTACCCACCACCGTATAAGGAGAGCATCAATACTTACCCACCACCGTATAAGGAGAGCGTCAAGACTTACCCACCACCGTATAAGGAGAGCGTCAAGACTTACCCACCACCGTATGAGGAGAGCGCCAAGACGTATCCACCACCGTATGAGGAGAGCGTCAAGACTTATCCATCGCCATGTGAGGAGAGGGTCAAGACTTACCCACCACCGTATGAGGAGATCGTCAAGACTTATCCATCGCAGTATGAGGAGAGGGTCAAGACTTACCCACCGTCGTATGAGGAGAGCGTCAAGACTTACCCACCACCGTATGAGAAGCCAGCACTATACATGGCCAGGGCCAGAGAGATGGGTTCCTGGGATGTCCCAGAGAAACCAGAGGTCAGCTCGCCTGTGATCCCTGCATACAGAATGAGATATGTCTCCAGTCACGTCATGGTTTTTGGTGACAAAGAGAGAGAGAGAGAGAGAGAGAGAGAGAGAGAGAGAGTAGACAGAGAGACAGAAGACAGAGAGACAGAAGATAGAGAGACAGAACCAGTTCTATTTTGATTAACAAGTCTTCTGACGTGTCCGGTGTGCGTCTCGTTTTTTGCTGTGCCGATATTAATTCCCAAGTCTGCCATTCTGGCGAGTGATGTGGTTTCACTGCCACCAAAGTCCTCTATCCTTCCCATTTCTCTGAGGGCATTGATAATATCAGCATGATCCATAGGCCGACCGTCGGTAGTGATAGCGGATCCAGCCAACCTGTCAGCTCTTTCATTTCCATACGATATTAATTCCCAAGTCTGCCATTCTGGCGAGTGATGTGGATTCACTGCCACCAAAGTCCTCTATCCTTCCCATTTCTCTGAGGGCATTGATAATATCAGCATGATCCATAGGCCGACCGTCGGTAGTGATAGCGGATCCAGCCAACCTGTCAGCTCTTTCATTTTCATCGACGCCTGCGTGTCCCGGAACAAAAATAAAGATGACTCCACGCACAGTGGACTTCTGTAATGATTCAAGCCATTGTCTTCGCACTGAACCTGCCTGAACCCTCCGGATCATACTCATTGAATCACTGAGTATACATATGCGGGTGTATTTTTGTGTTTCAAGCCAGGCAAACGCTTGTGTCACTGCCTTCACCTCCATCGTCATTAACGTTGGTTCTGATCAATACATTATCACGCATTTTCACTTCTGGTAAGTCCGACTTGACAATGTGATTGTTCAAAGAGAACCATGACACTGATGCCTTCGAAGGATTGACATAGGCATTGAAACCATCACACCAGGCGGCAATTCGATCGTGTTCTTTGTGCATTGTGCTGGCGATCTCCTGTCTATCATGCCCTCGTCGATAAATCAAAATGTCATCAGCAAATGACAAAGTCCTTCCCTTTCCATTCAACTGCTGCTCAGTGATCATCACCGTTTAAACGTTGAATAAGACTGGTGATAGCGGTGATCGCTGTGGCAAGCCTGGACATATCGTTTGCGGTTCTGAGGACCAGCTACCACATCTTAGTACAATCTTTCTCTGGAACAGGACCGCAGCAATCCAGCGGATCAGAAT